TATTCCACTCTTTCCTTCTCTTGAAGGACTTAAAGAGGATAAAGTGGTTTCTTGGGCTGAACTATGTGTATATCCAAAATTTCCCTTGCAAGGGGATGCCTAATTTTAAAATGATGAAGCAATGCCTGGTGTGCAAGAATAGGACAAGATTCTGAATTATGGATGTAGGTGGTGAGAGAGCTGGGGATCTCAAGTATTCACTTTTCTCCATCACCCAGAGCTTATTTTCTCCCTTTTCCTTTCTAAGAGCCAACGTCAGTCTTCAGGACAATGGTCCTCCCACTTACAAGCCAATATTCCTTTCCTTCATCTGTTTCTACTCCATGTTCCCACTGCTCTTCCACTTACGAATACAAAGCCAACTTCCCACAGGTAGATATAATGATGGACTGTTGCTGACAACAAGCAGCTGTTGATAAGAGATGCCAACCCTTTACTATGTGTTGTCCCACTACTGCTCTACCATTGACCCCATTACTTTCCTGTCAGTCTCCATTCCCTGATTCTTCTCCTATCCTTTTTTTTCCCCTTGAGACAGAGTCACTTTGTCACACTTGATAGAATGTTATGGTGTCATAGCTCACAGCAAGCTCAAACTTCTAGGCTCAAGTGATTCTCTTGCCTGAGCCTCTGGAGTAGCTGGGACTACAGGTGCCTGCCACAATGCCTGCTATTTTTAGAGACAGGGGCTCACTCTTGCTCAGACTGGTCTCAAACCCATGAGCTCAGGCAATCCACCCACCTTGGCCTCCCAGAGTGCTAGGATTACAGGTGTGAGCCACTGTACTGAGCTCTTTTCCTATCCTTTCCATCTATGGGCTGAGCAATGACCAACTTCATCACAGCCTTTGGACAAAAAAAGATAGAGTATCTCCTCCTTCATGGAACTTTCTGGAACTGGGTGTTCAATACTAGCTCAGTCTGAAAAGGAGGCGGGAAGTCAATGTCGGGGTAGAGGACCTGATAGAATAGAGAAAGGCCAAGTTTATTGTCACTTCTACAGTGGCCATATTCTTTTTTTATTCAGCATTAGTTATTTTAGTTCACCCATGGTGGTACGTGGAAGGGAGAGGAGAAGAGTGACGAGAGTTGGATCCACTGATAGGATTGGGACAATGTGTAGATAAACTTCCCTCGGTTGTGCTTAAGGACAGGAAAAGATGCCCTGCTTCCTTGAGAACAACTCTTAGAAAAGTAGACTATGGATTATTCACCTGATAGATTGTGGGTAAGTCATAAAAATGAGCTGATCACAATGACATGAACCTCTGTAGATGAATCTAACAAACATATTACAGAATTTAATCCTGCATATGGTATGATAAAATCTATAGAAAATTCAGAATCTTGGGATAAAAGACAGTATATCATTTAGGGAAATGTACATAGGTGGCAAAAATATAAAGACATTAGTGGAATCATTATCAAAATGATTAACAAAAATGTCATGCAAGTGTTAGTTAGCTCTAGGGGAGTTATCAGACAGGCAAGAGGTGTGAGGAGACAGGATGCCTAAGAAACTACAGTGCCGCCAATCAACATTATACTGAATATGTTACAGTTTTTAAATAAATAACAAAAAGCCTATGTCGACAGTTTAATTTTGTCCAGGAATAGCCAACAGAATAAAACAGATTCATTCATATGTGGAATGTGGATAACATGATCATTGAGGAAACAACAGACTAATTATGTAATTTAGGTAAAATTCACTTATCTCTCACTGAATTCACAGAATAGCTTCCATGCAGATACTTTCAATAGAAAACAATAATGTATTCTGGGTCTATAGGTTTTCTCTTTAACTTCTGGAATCCATTTTTATTTGCAGCCTTTTGGAATATTTCCGTGTCTATAAAGAGTGGAAACATTGCGCCTGTAGTCTCAGCTACTCAGGAGGCTGAGGCAAGAGAATCGCCTAAGCTCAGGAGTTAGAGGTTGCTGTGAGCTGTGACGTCACAGCACTCTACCAAGGGCGATAAAGTGAGACTCTGTCTCTAAAGAAAAAAAAAAAGAAGTGGAAACATTGAAGTTTGAAGCCCGGGCCCTGCATTTGGTCAGATCTCCTTAATGGCTGGAGACCACACTCTTCAGTGTTTTGGAAGCCTAACTTACCCGAGAACACAAGAGGCAGATGTTCCTCAGGGCTTAGTTACACGTCAAGCTTCAACACATGAGCTGCTTCAGGGAATGAAGAAAGACAGAACTACAACTGACCAAACAGATTTTGTTCAAAATCTCCTGATCACTTGGTGCCTGTAGCTCAAGCGGCTAAGGCACCAGCCACATATGCCAGAGCCGGCGGGTTTGAATCTAGCCCGGGCCTGCCAAACGACAATGGCAACTGCAACCAAAAAATAGCTGGGTGTTGTGGTGGGCACCTGTAGTCCCAGCTGGTTGGGAGGCTGAGGCAAGAGAATCCCTTAAGCCCAGAAGTTAAAGATTGCTGTGAGCTGTGATGGCACTCTACCCAGGATGACAGCTTGAGGCTCTGTCTCAAAAAAAAAAAAAAAA